AGGAGAACCTCATGAGGTTTAACAATACCAAGTGCAAGGTCTTGCACCTGGGTCACCGCAGCCCACACTATCAGTACAAGCCAGGGGATGAAGTGATTGAGCACAGCTCTGCTGAAAAGGACTTGGAGGTTCTGGTGGATGGCAGGCTGGACATGAGGCAGCAATGTGCCCTCGCAGCCCAGAAAGCCAACTGTATCCTGGGCTGCATCCAAAGATGCGTGAGCAGCAGGTTGAGGGAGGTGATCCTGCCCCTCTGCTGTGCGCTGCTGAGGCCTCACCCTGGAATACTGTGTCTGGATGTGGAATACTCACTACAGGAGATACACAGACCTGTTGGAATGCATCCAGAGGAGGGTCGTGAAAATGATCCAAGGGATGGAACACTTCCCTGTGAGAACAGGCTGTGAGAGCTGGGGGTGTTCAGCCTGGAGAAGAGAAGGCTCTGGGAAGACCTGAGAGCAGCCTTTAAGTATCTAAAGGGCGAGTATAAGAAAGAAGGGGATAGATTCTTAAGCAGGGTCTGTGGTGATAAGACAAGGGGAAATAATTTCAAACTAGAGGAGGAAGATTTAGATTTGATATAGGGAAGAAGTTTTTTACAGTTCCAGTGCCTCACCACCCTTACAGGTTGCCCAGAGATATGGTGGATTGGACACATTCAAGGTCAAGCTGGACCAAGCTCTGGGCAACCTAATCTGGCTGTGGATGTCCCTGTTCATTGCAGGGGAGTTGGACTAGATGACTTTTAAAGATCCCTTTCACCTTAATGTGATTCTCTTATTAAGTTTTTCTTCTTCTTGGCCATCCCTCCAACTTTCATAATGCTACCTGTTCAATTTTGCCATATCACATACAGTTTCCTTTTATCCTTTAACATCCAAACCAATGATGCTGCATTTAGGCAGCTGGATTGCTGTGTGCAGATGGGAGAAGGGCAAGGTAATAGAACATGTCAGGGTACTTGAAAAAGTAGTATGTAGGAATGACTGAAATCTGTCTTTTGTCTCTGATAGAGATAATATCAGAAAATGACTTTGAATAGAAACATAGCATTTTGCATTGAGAAGGATATAATGCCTTTGGCACATCATTACCTAGAAATATAGTACTGAAATTATACTTTCAACTCGTTCTTGAGTTAAAATGTAGAACTGTTATAAAAATAAATGCATCCATGTTGCACGTACTATAATTTGGTCTAAGTACTTTACAGGCCTTAACCTTCTAGATATATATCTCATGAGAATCACTTTTTTGAAGTAAATAGACACTGACCTTATTTTATTAAATGACAGAAGGTGATAGCCTGAAAAGCAGTAACATCTTAATGTGAAAAACAATTTTTTCCTCAAAATGCTTAAAGAGCAAATTATTTGAAAGAGATAACAACACGTATTATGAGTATTAGGCAGGAAAAAAAAAAAAAAAGATTTCTAGAACAATTTCCACTAAAGTTGACAGTAATCCAGCAGGAGCAAAACTTGATTGGTGAAGTTAGGTCAGCACAAAACCTTCTGTTTGGGTGTACCAATTTTTACTAGTGGAGTGGTATTACGTTTGAATCAGTCGCTCTTCCTTGTTTGCATCCAGACTTTATAACGTGTCCCAGAACACAAAGGTGCTTGGTGAGCAAAATCTTAGTGAAGATGAGCTTAAACCGATCAGAGTACAGTTGCAAGTACAGGAGTTAAAATTCCTTTGATTGCTGTCAACCATCTATTTGATGGAGCAAATGCAATGGAGCCAGATCTCAGATTTCATCTGTAGGCAGCAGGCTGTAAGCCTGTTCTGCAAGAGACCTCAGAGGGTTTTTAATCCTGTTGCCTTGAGCATTCTGCCTTGACTATGTGAGGCGTTTGTGGAAACCTCACTTGCTAGTGGGAAGGCTGCTGGAAGTGACTTGGTTGGGCCACAAAGAGCATAGCTCTCCATGTCAAAAATTCTCACCAAAAGCCACAGATTCTCAACCACTGGCTGCTCTCTATGCTTGTACATCACTACGCAGTGGTAAGTTGGTGAGGGTGTAACCCCAAGGGTGTTAAGGCCTCTTCGAAAGGGTAGATAACAGCAGGACAGGGGGAAATGGTTTTAAGTTGAGGGAAGGGAGGTTTAGGTTGGATGCCAGGGGGAAGTTCTTTACAGAGAGAGTAGTGAGGTGGTGGAACAGCTGCCCAGAGAGGTTGTGGATGCCCCGTCCCTGGAGGTGTTCAAGGCCAGGTTGGATGGGGCCCTGGGCAGCCTGGGCTGCTATGAAATGTGGTTGGTGGCCCTGCATGTGGCAGGGGGGTTGGAGATTCATGATCCCTGAGGTCCCTTCCCACCCTGGCCATTCTGTGATTCTGTGATTCTGAGTCCTTGATGTGATTTCTTGGATGTCAAGATGAAGATCCTTTCAAGGAACTCTTGTATCACAAAGTACCTTCATCCTACCTGCATTTGTAGAACGATTAAATAGCATATGTAATATGTACAGTTTTTTAGACAAAAAGCATGAAAAAACAATCTTATCGTCTTGCATCTATGTAATGAATTCTTCATAGTGTAGAACACACTGCTGAGAAAATGAATCCCGGTTCATTGTACAAACTGTGAATCCTCTTCTCATCACATATACAGTTGGTATGGCAATTCAGATGCTTTGTTTGCCATTTTTCATCTAAGTAGCTAAATTAGTAGATGGACTGTAAATAAAGTAAAATCTCTCTAAAAAACAGTCTTGCTGTTAATGTGGAGAGGTATTTTAAAATTGCAGTTATTTTCCACTGCTGATCTTTGTTTTTGTTTTTGTTTTTTTCTGCTAAGTTATGAAAGAGGGGGCAGGAAGTTCAAATCTTCACATATAGATTTAGGTAAAAGCATAATCCTTCAATGCTAAATGTTAAAACCTTCCTATAAGTCCTTCCATCACTTTTTTGAATTGCTTCCAGAATACGTTCTCCAGGCTCAGAAAATGGAGGCAAAAATAGAATAGCTAAAACTATTTAAGATGGAGGTTTTGGGTGAAGCATTTGAAGTTCCGTGGCACTGCACAGGTCTGTTATGAAATCTATCCAAATCACCCTCTTTTAGCACAGCACCCTCTAAAAGTATTGCAAGAAGGCTTCACTTATTATCCTCACCTACAGGTGAGGTAGGTGGTAAGTGAGGGAAGGAGAATCCCCATGCATTAACAGTCCCCAGAAACCTCTGTTTTCCTGCCTTGGTGTCCCTAGTGGCTCAGATAGAGGACACAGAAGCTGAATTCAAACCCCATGCTGTTGTTGGAAGTTCCTAAAGCACTTCCTGCCCATTTTGGCAGGAGAGGTTAAATGTCAGTGCGCTGAGCTTTTGTCCTGGAAGTCTAAATTAAGAACAGGGCTCTGGGCTGCTGTTAGGCCTGCAGGAACTTCTCAGCCTTTGTCCCCGCTCTGTACCCGGCTGACCTGAGCTGCCCCCAAAATACAAATCCACTGCACCATGCTGTCAAAACAAATTACTCAATATCAGGCAGCACCACAGAGGAGACAAAAGGCAGGATCTCAGTGAAAGTAAAAGGCTGTTCTCTCGTGCTTGCTAAGGAACTAAGGCAGAATAAATGCTTTGACAGGAGGGGAACTTTTCCCCTTCCCCAAATGCTGCCATAGGTCTTGATGCAGAAGGTAATCAAGTCTCCTATGAGGAGAGAGAGTGAGACATGAAGAGCCCAGGTATCTAAAGAGCCCTGTTCCTAAGGTTGGCAGATCTTAAGAACCTTACATTTCCATGTATTTCTTAAAAATGGTCAGGTATTTAATCAGGAAAGCCCAGATTAGAAGCCCGAATGACCCATTAGGTCAGAGGCATCCAGTGCTGCAGCTGGCCTCAGTGGACAGGAGAAGGGAGGGAGAAAAGGAGCAAAGCAACGGAGGGAAGAAGCCAGCAGGACTGATGAGGAGGACAGGATTACCATGTGAGCATGTAATAGATCTGTAGAGAACAAAGCTTCCTTAGACCTGCACTCATAAAAGAAGTTGGTTTTCATTTACAATAAACCATGCAAACTGATACCAAAATATGCCAGAAATCCACATTTTGTAATTTTGTTAGCAGTGATTTGCAATTTACTGCATGCTCCTTGATGGTGGTTGTTCTGTTTTATTTAGAAGCGAGTTCACTTACTTGCCTCTGTACTTTGGAGATAAAATTAGAGCGCTGTGTGTCAGTCCATTGCCCCCATTTTGTTTCATGACTTCACTGAAGGTGGTCTAATATGCATTGAATAGACAAAAGAGTGGTGGAGCCCTAAGGTCCAAATTACATGTATTTGAAACTGGCATGCCAAATAAAAGGTGGAGAAGCAGATGTTGGAGTGGAGAAGTCTGCCATTTTTGTGTCATCGAACAGTTTGAAACATTCCTAAGAAGGTGTCTGTGCTGAAAACAGACTTGGAACTCCTTCTGAACAGACCAGAGGCTGATGATAAATCAGTAAATCATGGAAGTTACCTGATCTCAGTGGAGCATTGAGAGGGAGAAGAGAACTGATAACTGCACATCTTGTCGGACAGATTATAACCTCCTGTAACCTTCTAAGCCTGCCCCTTTTATGGAGCTGAAAACAGTAGCCTCTTTCTTACAAATGAGGTCTCTACAATGGAGACTGCTGACTGAGAGTCTGAATTAGGAATGCGGGAGGAAAGACAAAAGAGTGAAGCCTGTTTAATTAGTATGAAGGATCCCCCCGCATAATCTACCAAACTCAGTTGAGCAGAGTGTAGGAGTTAGTGCTGAAGGGTCTGACTTGCTGATGTGGATAAACGCAATGCTCAGCAGATGAAGTCACACGTAATTAATTGTTCTGTGTTGCATTCTTTCCAACGTAATGACTTGTAGCATTCACACTTACAATAATTGATGTTTTCTGTGTGCTGGAGCTTCAGGACAGCCAATTAAGGCAGTGAAAGTGGTAGTTGTGTGGAAGTTCTAGCATTGCTATGCTACCAACATATGGGCTCTAAGTTCTTTTTTTTTCATTATTTCTAGTGCCTGAAACAGTACATGCAGCTGGCCATTCAAGAAGGTTGTGGTTCTCCTATCACTTGTCCAGACATGCTCTGTGTGAACCATGGGACCCTACAAGAAGCCGAGGTACTTCTTTCTCCATTTTTAAGCATAAAAACCCCAAAGTTCTTTTCTTCATCTACATAATAAATATGGTCATGTACTTTTTCCTCCCTTTAATTACCTTTAATGAGCTTTTGGCAAGAAGCCTGACTGACAAGAACTGCTAGAAACAAACAGATGTTTTTCAAGGGTTTTGCTCCTTTTTCCGTCTGTGCCTTGAGGAAAGGCTTAATTGGCATCCAGACAACCTCTGAATTACCTGTGCAGGTGACTTAACCAGAATACCCTGTATCCTAGAATTGCTGAGCCTCCATTAGTGCTGTCAGTTAAATTAGATTTGATACCACTACAGACACTACAATTCCAGCACCTCTTTAAACCCAAGAGCAAGAACACAAACTGATTATACACAAAGCCAGAACATTTTCTTCTGTGTTTATATTGAGCTGCAGCAACCAATTTGTGGCCCAATATAAATACGTGAGATGGTAAAACTGCAGTGAAAGAAAGGTATCTGCACAGCACTGGGTGGAGACTTTTCTCTTAGTTCTTAAGAGAAAAGTCTCTTGTTTCCCAGGGCAGAGATGGTAGGAATTGAGAGCTCAGAAGCTAAATGAGGTTTGGGCACAGCTGTTTGCACATCTGGCATGTGCACAATCCCCTGAGTGACATGAATGTTCAGTTTGGAAGTTGGAGGCAGAAAAGTGGAGGGAAAATGTAGCTTTAGACCTTGCACTCCTTGGGGCAAAGGGATTCAAGGGGCTGTAAATGGCCCCTAGAAGGCTTCCTAATGGCCTCCCAGCAGCATTCAGACAGCTTTCTGGCTGACTTAGAGCTTGTGTGAAGTTTCTGAGTTGGGCTTAGTGCCAAACCTGTAACATGGGGAGGAGTTGCTGACTGTGTGTCTGGAACCACACATGCCAGCTATTCTGCTCATCTAGAAAGAAGTATAAAACTGTGGGTAAATCTGATGCTGCCCTGCAGCTATTCTTGCTTACTTTGTGAGCCAGGTAAACCCCTGCTGGGCAGTGGAATACAAGCAGAAAAGAAAGACTAAAGGCTTTTGGCTTGTTTGGTGCATTCTCTCTGCAGTTGTGCACAGGAACAAAATCAAGGAGAATCAGGCCTCCATCTCGGAACTAAAGAAAGGCAATTTATGATCTTTTGCATTCCTTTAAGCTCAGTTTGTACAGGTGGCATAACTGTGCTAGAGATGTATAATTCTGTTCAAATGCAATCAGTGATATCACAGTTCATTGATAAATTTGACCTGTGGTCTTTTCTTTCAAAAATCTTTGTGCCATGCAGTAAAAGCTGCAGGATCAGATCATAGTAGCTAAGCTGTTTCTCACAAATATTTGAGACATGGTTATTTTCTGATGGGAATGTGATATTAAGTAGCAAACTCAATTCCATTAACTATGGGATGAGATTTTTCTTTGGCCAAACCCAGCTATTGTGGAAAGAAATCAGCTGTTTCCAGTCCTTTTTTTTTTTTTTTTTTTCCTTTTTTCTATAAATGCAGAAAGGGCATAGCAATGTTTTTCCCACTGGTAGCAGCAGAGTGAAGGCAACCAACGTTTATTGAAAATGCTGCTTTTAAAGATAATGAACAAATGCTAAGAAGAATTCTGCGCTGATTAACTAGGGCTATGATGCTATAGGAATGATAAGAGTTTATTTCCCATTAATAAGCAGAAGAGCACTCCAG